AATAAATGTCAATAACCAGTCAAAGGCAGAATTAGGGGGCTGCCTCTCCCATATGGAGCTACATATTCTCTGCCAAAAAAGAAACGCATAATGGATTTTTAAGAATTTTAATACATGTATTTTGAATGGAAATGGTACAAGATATTCACTCAAAACGTGCTTGATTGAGAAGAGGACAGTCAATTCCGTCGAAATTGAAGAATAAAAGTCGATTTATCACAATTAGAGTTACTTCCGGTGCCATTAAAATTAGTACCGTGTATGACCACCTCTCGCTGCTAAGACTGCTACACATCTCCTCGGCATGAATGCTATCAATGTCCTAATGTTGTTGCGTGGAATTGCTCGCCATTCCTGCTGCAACATTTGTCGAAGCTGATCAAGGGTCTGAGGCGGGGGTGAAGCTGGCGCACACATTTATTAAGTTGGTCCCATAGATGCTCAAAAGGATTCAAGTCCGGTGATTTGGAAGGCCAAGGTAGCACATTGATTCCATTCTGCTCAAGGTAGTCTATTGTTAAATGCGCTGTGTGAGGCCTAGCATTGTCCTGGTGAGGTTGGAGAATTTCGTATCTGTAACTTTGAGCCGTTAAATTACCCGGAATTCAGTTTTATGGTCATTAGAGATAGCCGCCCACATCATGACACTTCCTCAACCGAAGCTGTCCACTTCTTGAACACGATGAAGCAAAACGTTCATTCATGCGCCGGTAGACACGAGTTCTTCCATCACGTTTCTGAAGCATAAAACGGGACTAATAACTGAACCAGATTCTGCGCCAGTTGCGGAATGTCCAGCCCCTCAATCTGGTGCACCACCGGACTCTATTCCGTCTGTGTAATGGCCTCAAAACGGATCCAAAATACGGCCTCCTGGGTCTAATGCCAAGTTGTCGCAGTCGATTGCGGATTGTTTGTGAGATGATTTTTCTCAGTCCTGGTATCCCAACTACAGTGGCTGTTGCGGCAACGGTTCGATTCCGTAGATGAAATACCCGGATGTAGCGATCTTATCCAGGAGTCGTAAGGCGAGGTCGTCCACTCCTCGGGCGGTCCTTGGTACAGCCAGTCTGCTGGTATCTGTTACAAAGTCGCGAAATTGTGCTCTGGTTAACATTTTCAGTTCTTGCTACTTCACTTTGGGACACTACGGCCTTGAGAGGCCGATGACGATATTTCGAATAGCAGGTTCCAACCTTGGCATGGCAGCATTTAAACATTGTGATGTATTTAATCTTCAAACTTTTCCTCCTTTTTTCAAAATCCTGGACCCGCAACTGTGAGTAGAATGATTAAACGTTGATAAAGGATTTAAAGTGTTAATGCATTCCACTTGCACTGCAACACCATTTAAAATGCTAAAGCAACTTTAATGTTGATTTGATGGGCGTATTTTCCGAATATGAAATTGAGAATGGAAATGGGGAATGTGTCAAAGAGACAACAACCCGACCAAAGAGGAGAAAACAGCTCAAGGCCACCAATGGGTCTTCAAAACAGCGACAAAATCCCGTACCCGGAGTCGGGCTTCAGCTGGCCCCTAAACAAAAATATGTACTAGTTCAGTGAAAATGGACGTCACACTAAACTCCAAAACATATAAATGAACTTAAATTAGAAACCATACAAGACTAACAAAGGCCAGAGGTTCCTGACTTTGGACAGACGCAAAAATGCGACGGGGTTAAACATGTTTTGTGAGATCTCAACCATACAGCCAATGTAGAATAAACAAACACACAGCAATACGCACAGTAAACCTCAATTCAAAAGAAGTCTGAGTCCGATGTCAGAAAAGGTAACAAAAGAAACTAAGCAAAATGACAATGATACATAAATTAACAAAGGACTACTAGCAGTTACTGACATTCCAGCTCCAGACCTGAATTAAACGGATTGAAAGATTATGTCTTCATCATATGAAAATAAAGCACAATCCCTCTCGGTACGGGTTTAGTATCATACCATCATAAAATATATAAGAAGAACATAACCCGTATCATGCCAACAACTGGTTTTAGAATACTGTGGATTCATTTATTTTCGTTGGTGTCAATTTTCATTTTCGTGGATATTTAATTTCGTGGTTTTGCCAATATCTGCATACAAAGCCTGTAGAAAATTTGTAATTCATTGACATTTGAATTCGTGGTTCACCTGTTTCCACGAAACCAACGAAAATTGGTATCCAACGAATGATTATGAATCAACAGTAAATGTGTTTATTTCCGATGCAAAGACCCTATGAGTGAATCAATATTAATACCAAAATATGCCATCTTTAATGACCTGACAACAGAATCGTAACTATATCCCTTCTGAATAAGTCTGTTTAAAGGTTTGGTTAGCTTTAGAGGTGAATACCGACATTTTTGTGCTTTGTATAGAATATTACCATAAAAGATTGGATGTGAAATACCTGAACGTATAAGATGTCTGCATGTTGATTTAAATTTACGAATGATGTCCTTGTACCGATGATAAAATTTAGTAAATGTTTTGACTAGTTTATGATATCGAAAACCCTGGTGTAATAATTTTTCAGTAATACAGAGATTTCTTTCGTTAAAATCAAATACGTTGTTACATACACAAGCGAATCGAACAAGTTGAGATATATAAACACCATAAGATGGTGACAAAGGAACGTCACCATCTAAAATTGGATAATTAACAATAGGAAATGAAAAATCATCTTTTATCGTAAATTTTGGTATTAAGCTCCCTGTTAAAGATGTAGATATCAAGATCCAGGAAAGGGCAGTGTTCATTGTTAGTATTAGCTTTATTTAAATTAAGTTCAGCAGGATAAATTACTTTAGTGTACATACTGGAGTCGTCATTAATGAGAGCCAATATATCATCCAAATATCTAAAAGTGTTATCAAATTTTCGTATCAGATGTTGTTTCGATGGGTCTTTGTTGAATTTAATCATAAATTGTAACTCATAACAATACAGAAACAGGTCCGCAATAAGTGGTGCACAGTAAGTCCCCATTGGAATTCCGATATTTGACGATATACGGAATCTCCATAGCGAACAAAAATTTTATCTAGTAAAAATTCAAGGGCAGTTATCGTATCAAAGCAGGTTCAATTGACATAGTTCTTTTGTTTGTTGTTACTAAAAAATGACCTAAAAGAGTTTGAACATATATATTCGCATTCTGACTTTTTAAATGCCAATTAAATTAGGTGTGTGATTTTTTTCTAAATGAGATTATGAGGCAAAGTGGTATATAGGGTAGAAAAATCTAAACTTTGAACAGATTCGAAATCACCAATATAAGCATGCAGTTTATCAAGTACTTGCAACGAATTTTTGACACTCATAAAGTAATTAATTCCACTATTTTCAAAGGCCTTATTTGAGCAATTTATTACCAGGTTTTTGATTGTACCAAGTGTACTAGTGAGTAGAATAGACAGTTTAGTAGTGGAACAATGGCTAGGAGACGAAATAAATCTATATTTGTAAGGTGTTTTGTGCAGTTTCGAAAGCCAGTGCATAGTTGGAACTTTCATTGTATTTGGTTCTGCTTGTAAAGAGGTAGCTAAAAGTTTATGTTTGTTACAATGTCATTTTCCGAAAATGGAGTCAGTTGGAATGTTGGTGAACTCGTGATTACCTTTTGCAGAACCTCAATGTAAAATTTACGTCAAACAATAATGATACTATTAGCAGCCTTATCAGCCGGGACAAAAACAAATTCCTTGGCGAGTTCTTTTAGCTTATGTTTGATACGAGAAATAGGGATATTATGATTGCTGTTAGGTATAAAATGTCCTTTAAAATGTTTAATACGAATATTAACTATGTTCATTACTGAATTAAAAAAGAATATAAGGATTTTTTGTCAGCTTTTTCTCGTTTTATCCATTTCGTGCAGTAAGTACGGAGTGAGTCGTGGATGATGTTACGACACTCATTCCAATTAATAATTGACGGGGGACGATATTTAGGTCCTTTATCGAGGAATGATTTTAACTCTCGGTCATGAACGATGTTAAGGTCTCCTGTTATAACATGGGAACTGGGGCTATAAATGTATTCGGAATTACTGCAATTTCATAACGTAGGTGTATTGTCACTGATATCAACATCTTTACACAATTCGCTATAATTAAACACATATTTCCGGGTAGATTTTTTTGTAAATTGTAAATATAACAAATAAGAGGGAGTTCAGTGTTATCAAAATAGCCAGAAATTTGTTCTTTGACAGAATGATCATTAAAAATTACGGCAATATTTACAGAATCAAAACCTTTATTGACATATTTGATTTTAATAAAATGTTTTTTATGATCTTCAGGACGATCATTTTTGGAAACAGTTTAGAATAACAATATGCAATTATAATTTGGACGATTTCATACTTAGGACTGCAATATGGAATTGTGTTGCAATCCTCTAAAATTTGATGTAATTTATTAACATGTAAAGAACAGAGCTTGATTAACAGATAATGTCTGCCGTTGTTTTTTGAAATAGTAATTAGGTGCGAAATATTTGTATTGTTGGTACGAAATTTTCTCTGATTGCGATTTATTCTACGCCCATGAGAACGGTTTTTACAAACAGTTTTAGAAACTATATCCAAAAGGTTTACAGAATCGGTTCTTGATATATTACCAATTCCCATGATATCATCATTAAGACCGAGAGGATAGACGGTCTGTAATTTTTTAATCCAATTTAATTAAATTATTTTCCGTGATCGTACAAACTTTGAATGAGATTCCCCAGGCTGCTTATTTACTACTTCTAAAGGTTGAACTGTTAAATATTTAATAGGATGATTGTGCTTCTTAAGGTGTTGATAAAAGATACTTCTAAATTTATGGGGTCTTCTAAAACGATAAAGGTGTGCTTGTCTGCGTTTAGATAAATAGCATGTCTGTTTTCAGATTTTCGAATTTCTGCTATATCTTGACACATGTTAAGTGGAATTATATCACGAGTGATTTTCAAACGTAAACACTTACCGATTTGAATGAGCTTTGTACTATAATTTTTAATATAGACGTGTACAAATGACTTAATTAATTTAAATTACAACTAGAAAGATAATCAGTCTTAAATGTAAAGCTAGATAGTAAAATCATTTCTTTTCTAAGTCTCTTCCAAGTCCAATCATATCCTCCGGTTTTCTAATTAAGGACTTCCCTATTTCAATTCCTCCCTCCCGAAGAGCCTGTACAACTGCGTCGCAACAATTGTTAAACAGGAAATGGTATCCTCCATCATCTTTAATTTTCTGCCACCATTTCCGTACCTTTTCTACATTAATGACACCATTCCTTATAGAGAATCGATGTGTATAGTTGCGACCTGTGAAGTGTTCTTTTTCATCGTCATAATCAACTGGTAAATGCTCTTTCGTTCGTCCTTCTGTCTGAAAAAAATAAATATCACATATTAAAACAACATTATCTATAGCATCATCTCAAATCAAAGTGTCTAAACTTTTATGAATCTTCAAGACAATACTAATAAACCTTTTTGATTGTAAGTATGGAAGTGATATAACGCATGGGGACTATGTTAATGATTGCACATTTTAACCATCGCATGTCTATGATCCGCCTAAGTTATTAGAGGGGACATTATATTTTCCGGTCTGTTCGTCTCGCCGTCTTATATATGAGGTTAAAGTTTTGATTAAGGCAAGTCGTGGTCACATCAAATTTTAAACTTGGTAGATATGTTCATCAAATCGGGAACTGCTCAATATATATGCAAAATTAGGGTTTTGACCTAGGTTTCACAATTCACTGAACATGGCAATGTGATAGGTTACATGTTGGGTTTAAGGTAGGTTTATAAATTTTTGGTTTAATGTTAGTTGTGGTCACATAAAATTAAAACATATGTTAATTACCACAAGAACTGTTTAATATACTAGATTATAGATCAAATGAGGGTTTTGACCATCGTAAACTGCATAATTTATAGTTTATTATCAATGTATAGTTTACTATCCGAATCCGTACCATAAAAAGAACTATCTGATAAAGGCGTCAATCTGCAACTTCGCCCCAGCAATAGTTTGAAGTTTCATTAGTTTAAACGTATTTATTTGCTAAATCGAAGCAAAATGGATGCAACACTAGTAAATCATACAGTTGAAGTCTTCTCCATAAAACAATATGATTATATATATAATAATAGTATGAGCTACATGTAAAACCATAAAATGTATTGGACATTATACTAACTAGCAAAAGAAGAAAAGTACGGAAAGAAGCAAAGATTTAGAAATAATTTTATTCTGTGATGATGACTTGGGTTTTGATGATGATGTCCACGACGTTGATGGTCAATGCCAGTATCAATGACAGTTTTTGAAGGTACAAGAAATCTGTTTGACCTTTTAATAGAATTATGAACATGTTTAAAAGTTTTGCTCAGTCGAAAGTTCAAAATCTCTGCAAGTAAATATGTAATTATTTCGAATAACTCGATTCAATAAACTTCAGATAAACTATAGAAACAATATGTATTCAAACAAGGGAAACATCATGTAATCTATGAACCCTGTCATTTGCTGTAATGCGTTAGGTCTAGATTCTCTCAAATATGTTGGTTACGCTAGAATTGCAAATTAATTGCAAATCGTGTCTATGCGTTTGTTTTTCAGTATTGACGTGAACTAACAGCAACGTGATGCTCTAGATAACGTGTGAAAACATTCATGTTAAAAAAAAATCATTAAAATAATGAATGAATTATTTTTTCTGTTCGATGGTTATTATGAAGACAATTACTTCATTTATTTTTAAGGAAAAAGGGTAGGTAGCTTTCTTCCTCGCTTATAAGCTGATTGGTGTTTATTATAAATATAAGGTCGGATTTCCTATAGAAATATAAATCCATTCGTAGAACTTTGAATAAATTATGGGAGAATAAGTTTAAGAGATCAATTGGATCCTCTATATGGATAAATAAAGCTTATGACAACATATTAGGATAAAAAACGGTGACGACTGAGGTTTTAAATGTGTGTCCACTTTGAAAAAAGAATAAAAATGCCGCAGTTAATGCGCACCTTTATAGTTTATTCGTAATTCCACAATTACAGTAGATATGGTCACTTCCAGTGCATATCTTTTATCTGTATATAATGGTTGACAATTAGAATAAATTTGAAAAATGATCTACCTTTTTCTTTTTAAGACTATTTTTAGATTTATCTTCTGTTGGCCACCAACTTATATATGCACTACTGTCATTTAATGACAGCGACGCATGTCCCCAGCTGTCCTTGTCTGCCGTCCATACATACATAACTGCCATATTCGAATCCCAACTGTATATAATTCAACTGTAACATAAAGATTGCATTACTTAAAATTCTATACATTGGTAAAAGTGAGAAGAACTGATTGTAATTCAAAGTTAATGTTTTTCTGTACAGATTTTATTATACGTTTTTATGTGTTCCATTTCTTATTTAAATGTTTGAGATCTAAACACATTATTTTTTCCTTGCCACATGTACACGTGCCTGTCCAAAGTTCAGAACGCGGATATGGTTATCTTTTGTCATATTTTGATTTTTTTTTTTGTTATTTCGAAAATTTGCCGTTGATAGAATTTCTTTGTTAGTTTCCGTTAAGTTTTTTTTTCTAGATTCGGGGCGATGAAAGGCTGGACATATTGTATAGACACTTGTCTATCATTGACGACCGTATGTTGACCTTTATATTTGATTTAATCCCAGACGACATAACAAGCAAGTACTTAATATCATCTTCTGTGCAAGATATGCTTGTCCTTCCAAAACACATGAAATGAAATCAGACAGTTGTTGAAACGCTACATAATTTGAAAATTGCTGTCTAAACAATGTATACATTTAAAAGATATCCTTCTTATTCGTGTTTTTTTTTAAATGCACATTATAGTCTTTATTCCCATCAAAATTACAGTTTTGACCCATCTTTATAAGCTAATACTAGTATATAATCTGTGGCACCGTATTTGATGTTAACTACAGAGTTTCTGTACAAATTATCAGTATTTTTTGCACACACCTTCTTTCACCACGTTATACAAGTTTATCTTAAAAGATAACCAGCTTGATTCTTTAACACGCATGGTAAACCATAAAATCTCAACCAAATGGTTAACCAAGGAAAAACTTTACTGGCACTTCCTGTTGAGTTTTCTTGTACAAAATATCAAAAATATAGATAGGGTAGGTCGACTTTTCATCAATTTATTGTCAATCTGTGAATATTTTCTTAAATAGGAGAATGTCATGTCATATTTAACTTAATGAGAGCTTGTGTCGTTTATTACTAGGACCAATGTAATTTAAAATGACATCGGAATGACTTTTCTCCTGCAGGTAAGTGCGACCAGCTCAGTGAGTTTTTTGACAAAATGACAGTGAGTTCATCAATAAGTAACGTATATATCAGTATGTAGGCTCTTCTTAATCAATATAAACGTATAATAAAAGTTTTTCTTCTGTTTCTTTACGAATATAATTTTATTCAGCTGAATATATTATAAAATATGTCAGATTGAGAGTGTCTGGTATCCGTTGTGATATTCTGGATCAATGTTGAGATCTTCTATCGAATAAAACTTCCAACTAGCTAATTGCCAATCGGATACGATCGTCAAAATTCGTGAACCATCTGTATAATAGTTGTAACTTTGACTTGTTTCTTGATTTGACATTAGTTTTGTAGCTGAAGAATAATACATGTATTAACCTTCAAAAGGGATTTACATGAACATCAAGATTGTTTTTTGCATAATTTATAGGCCATTTTCTGTTTGACAGTCCTATTTTCACATCCGTACCGGCATTTGGTCAAGAAACTATTGAAGCGTGTTTTTTAACAATTTCTTTTACGCTCGAACTTTTCAATTCAATTTTATCGAAAAATGATGTGAAATGCATATGGGTTTTTGACATATTAATAGATAAATGTCATTGGTTTCAAATATCCCTTAAATAGATTAAAATTCTACTTTGGACCATATTTTGGGGACATTTGTGACATTTTCACCCCCCCCTCCCTCTTTTTGCAATATTTTGTATCAAATAAATGCAAATTATTTATAACACCAAAAAAGAGATCATATTTCACCATTTTCATTTGACCTATTTGAAATCAAATCTTCTCCGTAAAACGCCCTCTGTATATTTTATAACGACAAGACACTGCATTTGAGCACTTGGTTCAAAGTCAATATCAACATATTGTTAGTTTTATTATTAATGAATCTATCAACACACTTGTTTTAATGTTTTTCTACATGTCTAGATTGATTATACACATGTTTCTTATTATATTGTTTATGTGTCCTATGAACTCCTGGAGCCCTTATTTGGTGAATGAAAGTTTCTTATTCACATTCTTCTAATACAAATAAATAGTATGGTAAAATGTAAAGAAGTACCTCATTATTTAGAGCGGTGCTTTGCATTTCCGCCAAAACATCTTTCGTTTACGCCACAAACCGTATTTCAATTGTGTCAAAATAAAATCTTTCATTAGCGCCAACAATACAGGTAAATAGGATAAAAAATATTAATACATTTATATGTTAATTATTCAATTAATATTATTTTACATGTATTAATATCTTCTGTTCACCAGCATTTCATGTTATACATTTGAAAACACGGGAAGGTTGCGAGAATATCGAGCAAGATAAGTCCCTAAAGGTTTAACAGTAAGGTTAAACATAAAATATATCCAAAGTCATTGTCGATTGCGTCATGCAACTATGTTTGTCCTCATCTGTTAAGACTGTGATTATTCTCTTGTGTCTGTTCTTCAATACACTGGATAATCAGCATGTGGTGTCATATAAAATACGGCTCTGTTTGACTCATGTTGAATTATATCCATCTGGTCACAACGAAATGTGTACATTGTACAATGTTATATCCTAGTGGCTTTCGGTTATGTATGAAAAATAACAAAGAATTCATTTTACATACTCAAGGGTACTCTAGTACTACACAAATTCTTATTCGAGTCTCGTATTGGGATTACAACATACATTGAAACTTTATCGTCATTTTTAGTTGTCTGTAAATTGCGCGTGTGGCGCAAATATAATACTGTTTTTTAAAAAAATTGTTACAAATACAATGCGCTTATTTAGATGATTGGAATGTTCTTATATCAATTTTCAATTCTTCTTGAAAACTGCGATTTATTTCTATAGACCAAGAATATTTAAACGCATATCTTGTAGGACATTTTATCCGCGTGGAAGGTTTGAAAAAAAGAAGGTATATAACAATATAAAACCAACGAAGGGACATATCTTGAACTACAGAAAAAGTTCATATATTAACAATTGCAAGGTTATTTCAAATATCCTAAATTCGTAGTCCATTAATGAAAAAATATTACTTACGTTTATGAATCCTTATTGCAAAGTGAGAGAGATAACAACATATATAAATAGATTTCCCGTCATTAAAAGTAGTTTCGGTTTCCTTAAATCAACCTCTTCTTGGAATTTACAGGTATTAGAAATAAACATTTAATCATACAAGCATACTTTCAACAATTTTGTTCGGATAATGAGAAGGAATGTGTTTTTATCCTACATTAATAGTACATGTTCTCATAAATATATTTTATATGTAAAGTTACCATGAAAAGCTTTAACAGGCTGTGCAGGAGCTGTATATATGATTTGCCCAAAGCCCACCGTTTATATGATATGGACGCTAGACGAACCCTTAAAACGTCTATTCGTTGCTGTTAAAATTAGTATAAGACAAACTATTCTATTATGTATTCGAACATCCCTCACATGATACATGACAGCCAATTCAGTTCAAAACAACTATATTTAGTGGAATCCTCTTAACAAAGACATTTAGGATCAGTTAGGGAAATGGCCAGATAGGAATCTACCTCAACGCCCAATCCGGGTGTAAATTTCAACCGGCCAAAACTAAATTCTCCTAAGCTTTTTCTATAATAATTATATGGAAAGGAGAAGGTATATTTTTTTCAATCCATGCTTTTCTCCATTTCTATTAACATTTCAGATATGACATACATCGCAGCTAACTATTAAAAATAATGAAATAATTATGTATGTTTTTATAATTGTATATAAACTGGAAACATTAAATTTAAGAGGGGAAAATCGCTAAAGGTACGATCTAATTAAAATTAGATCCCCGCACGTGTTCAATTTTTATGCTTTAAAATGTGACTGTGCAGGTTTTTTTACTGTGTATTATAAACACGGAAAAATATTGTAACAAGGACGAATTAGAATTAACGGCACTATTAATAAATCTACGAAAATCAATGTTAAACGTTAGCTTGTACTCCAAACCCATTATAGCGTGAGTTGGATTTCAAAGGAACACCACACATATGTAGTGCACTATATTGATATGTACCAATATTCATGCTTTAAAGATAAACAACAAATAATTATGACAGATAGCAACCGATAACAACCAGAGTATTAGGACTCCTGACTTGGAACAGGCACATAAAGAATGTGCCGGGTTAAACATGTTTATGAGCGCCCCGCGTCACCTAACATGGGATTGTGGTGTAACAACTAAACATTAGAACAAAATGTTAAAGAATAAGATAACAAACAAAAAGACGAAAGATACGAAAGTACCGATCTAAGAATACAAAGGCTTGTTCAAAGCCCAAATTAAACTAAAGATAAACCATGTTTTTCCAGACAATGTTCTTCTATTAGCTCGCCGATGGAGATTTATAAGAGGAGGGTTGAGGTCTTTAAAAATCTAATCGGCTTAATTTTGTTAAAAATTTTTGTAGACTCGAACGATTAAGAGTTTGCCACATTGTATCTAGACACCTTTTAATTGTTGAAAACTCTATATTTTTCTCTAAATGTTTTTTGGTTAATTGTTTCGTTAGGTTGCTGTCTCATTGACATATACCCAAAAACATCCCTTTTATGCATACTCCTATTTCTTTAGACGGAACATTAGATGCTTAGCTTTGATCCTTGATGCCATCTTTTTCCAGGATACCTCAACATTATCCAAGACTTTAGAAAGAAAGGAACTATTAGGAACCTTTTTTTTTACTGCAAATCTTATTGCAGAGGAGAGAAAGCTGATTAAAAAATCATTGGGCATTTCTTTAAAAAATGCATGATTGTTGTTATTAATCGTATGAAACATTTCGAAAATAACTTAATACATACTCGTTATAATCAAACGGTATCTAGAAATAAAATACAGATTTTGGAAATCTGTTTCTGTTTGCACCTATTGACATAGCAGTTAACAACGTTGTCGTAAGTACTATAACTTTTTGCTTGATAATATTTATGTTCGTTTCAGAGACAATATCACTTAGTGATTTGTATGCAGACAGGATTTAACGGAAGCCAATTATCAGCTAGGTGAAGTAAAAAGAAGTCATCAGAAATAACTTGTGTCGTGCTTAGCCCCAACAGTTTTCTTTCGATGTTAATTAAACTTTGCACTTTGACTGCAACGCTTTTGAGGATGTTCACTCCTGATATTAGACAAATTTATAGAATGTTTTCTCAGGTTTACCATTTGTGTAACCATGCAAGTCATTTTTGTCATTAAATGCTATAGAGGGTACTTAGTTTGTGTTATTCATAGTTAAAACAGTTTTCATTCAACATCATTCAATTTTTACATAGTGATTGCACACAGATTTAATTTTTTATGGTTTCCCATGTGCGAAACTTAGTAAATTTTGCCATTGAATGCATGGTATTGTGGTACCTACGCCATGTATTTTTCCAATGGTTTTCTCCAACATTATTTAAACTTTGCACACATATTTAAGATGTGTATCTCCTGTTTTCAACAAATTTGATTTTTTCATTGTTATCCGTGTTTGAAACTTAATATTGTAAGTCATTCAATGCTATTGGGGTACCTTCGCCGCTGTGTCATGTGTTACTCAAATGATTTTTTGTCAACATTATTTGAACTTTGCACAGAGATTGAAGATGTGCATATCCTATTATGGACACATTTGACTATTTTTACTCGGGTCTCGCATGTGTGGAACTTAGTCATTGTAAGTATTAACGGCTAAAGAGTGTACATAGTATGTTTCATGATTAACTCAAATTGTGTCAAGAAAAATAAAGAAACATTATGTTATTTCAGCAATTTGTTATTATCCTGCTTGGCTATTTGAATGTTCGTCATATTTAGACAATAATATAGAGGGGAGATAAAATTAGGAAGATATTATAGCTCATAGTAAATCTTGCTCTATATATATTTCCATGGAGTAAATCAAAATTACATCTGTATTGAAATTGAACGCGCTTCGAGAAATCATGTATCTATTATCAGTTTTCACAAATATACCTATCTGACATTTCTGGATTTACTTTTATCAGGAACGCTGTTTACAGTGTGAAGTATTAATGGTGTACAAGTTTTAATTTTGTAAAAAAAATTAGTACAAATTATTGATACAAGTTTCTCTTCAACAATTTACTAGCATTGTTTTCTCACGAATTTCAACCTAACACAATGTCCTGTTGTTTTTGTTATAAAGCTGCAAATGAGGGCACCCGACTGGTTTAGATTCTAATAATATGTTTTTTTTTAAACTTTTATCAAGTCCAAAAAAAATCTTATAATGTTCTAAATATAAATCTTTGTATTAGTGTTATGTATTTGTTTTGGCATTCGAACTCTTTTTTTAATTCAGAACCACTGATGAGTCTTATGAAGACGAAACGGGCTCAGCAAATCAGAAGCATCATAAGCCTGGTATTTTTTGAAGAGTTTCTTTTCTATTAATAAGCATGTAGTCATGCAAATATGACAGCCATCAGCTAAATTAATTTGTCGAATTATGTTAAGAGGTTCGCAAGATACTATGAATGTGTATACACATCCTGTACAAATTATAGTTTGCTTGTTCACAACATATGCAAAGCAGGATATCCTTTTCATGTGAATTCTTCTGATCCGATTCATCTGGTTGAAATTTTTCTCACTATAATTTTAATTTCTGAGTGTTCTAATCTGAACCTGTTTTTTTTTATCACATCGAAATACTACCTTGGTTTTCCTTATATGGCTTCAAAGTTACCACAATGCCCCTATTATGCCTAGTCTAACTCCAGAGTCTAACAGCACAAAACAAATGTATCAAAATTGGGAGTTGTTGTAATTAAAGCCATAACAAACAATGATTATGTAACACAGTAACTTAGGCCACCGTTTCTTTTTAAAGGTTTAAAAGTACTTTAAAAAGCAACACCATTTGGTTATTAGGAGAAAAGAAAATGTAATCAACCAAAATCTGTCTGTCGAAAAACAAAAGACTAAATAAAGAAGATAACCATCAAACTTTCTTTAATTTAAAAAAAAACAGGCTAGTATATAAGTATAATGCCCTATTTCAATAAAATAAAAACACCCAGATTTGCAGCCGGAATTGATCTTGTATGGTATTTTTTTTTATTTAAGCAAGAAAGATTGTCTAAAGATGGCATGGGTAGGACAATGTCTTAGCATTAATCATTAAGCTTAGAAATCACAGATTTCACAATTAAGCTTTGACATGTTCAACATAAACGGTTTCTTTTGATTTAAACAGTTTATTTCACATCATCGGACTACGAAACCTCGGAAGGGGTTTCCGTCTTTTTCTTTCGCATTCTCTAAGGCTTGGCCATAGCGAATCATGTGCCGCGGAGTGGAAACTACTTTAATTCCCGGATGAACCCAGTAGTAGCAACCTCCGACTTCCAATGCGGCGTAAACAACATCACAACAATTGCGACCAAAAAGATGATAGCCACCTCCCCCTTTTGTTCGTCTCCACCATTCCTCGACAGTGTTTGCATTGATTTTGCGTTCGTTTATATAAAACTTGTGAGTTGCTTCTCTACCATTGTAATCGTCGACGTCTTCTCTATAACTATCGGGTAATTCATCTTTAGCGTCTACCTATCACGCAAAAAACAAAAATAATAATGGATACTTTGTCAAACATTGAGCAAACCAACAACCAATTTGAACCAAAACAAAGGAATCTACATGTCAATATTATGCCTTTTATGATATACAATTTTAAGTGTCTGTAACATATGTCAAGTTTATAATTAAAATAGGTCCAGACAACTTGAAAAGTATCAAAATCTGGCAAACTTACTTTCGTTTACATGTACGCAATAAATATTGTTTACTCATATTTTTTTCATCCCAATGTTTATTTTAAGTCTTATTTCATTTGCGAGCTTTATGGATGAAGGACTTGTTTATTAAGTATGTGATCATTAGTCCAAGGCTAATTTGTAAACACGCCAATAACCTTATAATAAAAAATGTGTTTTATCCCTATAATTCTCAACTAAAACATTTGTAATTGTTGCCTTTAATTTCAACTTTCTTGGAACCCTTGTATTCCTTTCATGTATATCACTCATGAAACATATTACAGTGAAAAGGCTACAAAAGTAGTTTCTGAAACATGGTCTGTCTGTGGACCAATCACATTCAAGTTTTTATAGATATGCAAATCAAATAAGAATTAATATATGTGTAATATTAGGAAGTTTAACCTATAATTTTTGGCTAACAGATTAAATTATCGATTACATTAAAGGCCGTCTTTAAATGTAACTGAAGAGGTCGACAACAGCAAACTTGGACATCAGTTTTATATCTACAAAATGAAAGCTTTCAGTGTTGTTGTGGCGAGCTGATAACAAAATAACGACGTTCAGTTTTCCTTATGACTGATTGTTAATGTTCGTTTGAAGTAATGAATAGAGTAGTAAGATATATAAATATTGTGTTCATCAGTACTAACATTGGTTTTCCTATCAATAAATTAAAACATAACTAATTATGTATTGTTATACGCTTACGGTTCTACTTCCTGTCAATACTCATATTTTGGAATTACGCAAGGTCATGTTTCCTCGGCTGTCTATGGCATCTTTACACTAAATAAATTTGATGAGTACTGATTGATATTTTGTCTTGGACGCACGATTTCTTTATAAGTTGTTATTGGCTTGGGACTATCTTTCAGTAACTATGAGTATTCTCAGATAGGTATTTTGTGTTCATTTGTGCTTCTGTTAGTTAAAATTGTGTTTATGCTTTATATCGATCTGATGAGTCAAGCCCTTTTCAACTGAATTTTGTTGTTTATTCCTATGTTGTGATGTTACACCACTGTCCCAGGTTAGGAGAAGGGTTGTGCGCCCGCAAGCATATTCATCCCCGCAACAGTATATATGTACCTGTCCCAAGTCAGGTGCCTGTAAATCAGTGGTTGTCGTTTGTTACTCTATATCATATTATACTTCGTTTGTTGTTATACACATACATCAGGCCGTTGATTTTCTCATTTGAATCATTGTCTGTTCCATTTATATGTTATATTTATTGTACATTTTATTTACCATATAGGGGCGTGGAAAAATTTGCGTCGCGCATGCGACAAGAATATTTCCACGACATTACATTGTTAATCATTTACAACTCCTAAAGTGTTGTGTATATGTTTGTGTCATAAGCATATTCACAATATTTTCCCGCGGTCCGTGCAAAAAGAATTTGTATTTTTTCTTTGCCGAAAGATCTGCACATACATGTAGTTAAAATAACGAAAGTCGTCTAAATGATGGCTGAAGGACTCAATGCTGTTGGGTTTACTTTATGTGGATTGAGCCAAATGGATTTGACTCGAAAGGTAAGAATACTATGTTGCATAGAACTCAAACTCGTATACTTTTTGGTTGACGATCTCTTTAACGTTTGTCTTGAATATAATCAAGATCATATATTTATTTATTTTTGACTATTTGCCACCAGGCGTGTACGCTAAACTCAATCGACCAATTGTTCTATCTGAATTTAACTAAAATATGTACTCTTTTCAATTATTTTTCTCAAAATAGTCTACAAATGTTATGCACATATGATATGGACATATAGGGAAATTATTGCTAAATTCCACTTGGTTTCAACAAATTTCGATTTCGTCATTTAATCCCGTGACTGAGTGGAACAAATACAATAGTGCTGCACTGTTTAATAATAAAACTCCGCGTCAAAAACTAGAATCGCCACAATGAAAATATGGTGATTAATTCTGGCATACGGGCAGACTGGCGGTGTATCGGTCGGCTTTTAGAACACTGATGTCAAGTTTGATTTTAACGCTTAATCCGGGTTTGCTGTAGTTTAGCAGTCTCTTATTTAAAAAGAATTAATAAAAGATGTAATTATGATAAGTGAGCATTGCTAATTTTTGAAAATTTAGAAAAAATGCATACATAGGCAAACACATAGAACCATGACACAACTTGATATGCAATATGGGTTTGCTTATTGTTGAAGGCCGCTCGGTGAACTATAATTAATAAAATCTTTTTCATTTGTTTGATAGTTTTTTGTTTTTTGTTGGGTTTTTTTAATTTGTTTATTTTTGACACAAAGCTTGATTAGATATGTATATTTTTAAGTATGGACTTTAAAGAATAAATTTCCTTTATAGTTATAATATAACATTAACTCTATGTAACACATACAAAACTGACATAAATATAATTTTTATACCAGTTATACAATATTTAATCACCTATGACAATTTCTAAAGGCAACCATTTTTTTTATATATATATACTTTTTGTGTAGGGGAAACCTAGTTTCATGTGTATCTGTATGTTGTTCTATTGTTACACAATATTTAAGATATTCAGTACAACCTTTCACAGAAAACTTTTCTACTCAATGTTCACAAGCATAAATATAATGTTTCAAAATCAACATTACATGTTGAACTGTATTATATGGGTCAAACATTTCTGCAATACCAAAAATAACATCCCTTGCATCTGTTTGTTTCAGGGTACGTCCCCAATTTGAAACTAAGTTTTAAAGTGCAATCCAATATTTCTTCTGTATAATGAAAAGGAGATGTTGTATGATTGTCAATGAGACAACTTTCCACCGGAATTCGAATGAAGTGGATGTAAGCAAATATAGGTCACCTTATGGCCTTCAATAGTGAGAAAGCGGCTAAAAAAGACCCCGACATGCAAACATGCGAAACAATGCAAACGAGAAAACAAACGGCGTAACTTATGACAACACAATTTGAGAAAAACAAATATGACAGAAATGAACAAACGACAACCACTGAACTACAGGCTCCTGACTTGGGACAGCTACATAAAGAATGTGGCGGGGGTTAAACATGTTTGCATATAAATTCCAAAAGATATGCAATACGCTTTCTTTGGTTTTAGTGCACATTTCTGTTTCTGTTAAACCACATTTATAAAGAAAGAGTTTTTTATAGCTATAACTCTATGCAATAATTAACTTGAATTGACCATTTTGTAGTTTTATGTTTTTAGTTGCATGCAAAACAGTGGAGTAGATTTCCCTCCAATCTTCAATTGTAACATATAAATTCTCTCAAGGTTTTGTGACCTAATTTCCTTCCGATTAACAAAAATCTATCTTGATGAATTGTGTTACTGTTATCTCAATTCAAAACACAAAAAAAAGGAAAAGAAAAGAAACATTAAAACTCTACTACAATCAAAATCCTTACCTTCTTCTTCTTCTTTTTATATTTTGATTTGTCGTCTTTTGGCCACCAGCTGATATACACCTGACTTATTTCTAATAACAGTGAAGCATGTCCCCAGCTGTCATCGTTTGGATACCACACATACAGATATGCCATTGTTAAATGTACTATTATGCGATTCAGTGCTATAAAATGTGGAATATATAAATTAAAGGAACATTTTGCTAAGCAGTGTTTACTAAGAAATGCTCTTTGAAGAATTCTAAAATGTATAAAGCGGTATCCCGAAAACCATCACAAGGGTTTTCAGAGAAGTGACATTTTCTGAAAACCTTCGTTTCACTTTTAAACTAAGTCTATAGGTTGTACATAGCCTTTTCATTTGAAATCCAACCAAATACTATTTAGTGATTGATATTGATTATTATGTATTTATAAAAACAAAGGTTAAAAAAAGTAAAAAAGACAGAAACAATAGACAATGAAAGGTAAACAAAAATCCCTGCTATCATTTATGGAAATATTAAGACTATTAATAGAGGATGTCTTAACTTTTTCTATTAATATCTCTGGAATTTCCCTTACAACGGTTCTTTCTATAATTAGATAACAGCGGCTTGTAAGTTCACACAAAGTTCGCTGTACTAAAAACACTTCTTGGTGTTGTAGTATATATATTTATAACGCAAATTTGAAGATCTAAATTTGTTGGGCTAAATTCGAGACGAATTATATATATATTATGGTGTTAACCCTGTATAACCACGTGTTGTCCAATGAATAATGTCTGTCATAAAGTTGTCACATGTTTAGACGCGTGTATATATATATATATAACAATTACAAATATGTAAAGAGTTACGTTATAAAATGTAAAGTATAAACATAAAGAAACCTGAATTCCCTAATTGTATTTATTATACATACATAATATTTTTTTTTATGTAAGTCCGTTCGATTTCCTGCTTACAAAGACTTTAATTATTTGTGTTCATGTTGCTTCACATACCATACATATTACAGTTATTGAATCTTTTTCTATTGCAATTTTATGTTTATTCAGCTGTTAGGGTTAACATGACTGTGCTATTTATTAATAAAATCGAGATAACAACAGCTAGTGAAGCTTGTTTCTAGGTGTCATCGTTTGGACACCCCACATACAGATATGCCACCGTTGCCTTTGTTATGTGACTAACTATAAAATAGTAAAATATAGATTAAAGGAATTTCTCGGTACATAATCCAAATGTTTTAGCAGTGTTATCTAAAGCATTTTTTTTTAAATAGAGTTGTAATTAATACTGTATAAACAAATAATACAGGTCTTTTATAGAATTTTCATTTTTTAATATCAACGATTGTAGTCATTTTATATGGACTCTATACAGTAAAATTGAAATAGCACACCAACAAACAAGTTTAAAAAAACAGAAACAATTGAAACTGAAAGTATAGAAGTCTTACCTAGCTATCAGTTTTGTGTAAAATGTGTTAGTACGAGAAATAAACGTTTTCTATTTATATCTTTGGTATTTCCCTTGCCACTAAGATTTCTTCTTTATAACCCCTTCTGTGGCCTGTCAATTACGAAATTTTCAAACTGCAATAGTATCAAAACAGCAAAGATAATGAATAAAAGAGATGGACCATTTTGTACATATGTCAAGGGGAAACTTCGTGTAAAGCATTATTATTTATAGTTTAATTGCATTTAGTAGAAAAAGAGAATTTGGTGAAAATAAAACCAAGATTTTTGTAGAAAATCCACAGGCTTTAATGCAGAGATTTTTGTTATAAAATTTTAAAAATAGATTACTCACTGGTTTTTCTATGATCAGCTAGCGTTTATTGTTTACAAAAAGTTCCAAACAACCTTTAAATTCCAAAACACCTCGTGCTGGGTCACTAAAGTCGAGCGCACCCTTAAAGGTGTACTTGAATTGGTCCATATTTATATTTGTTTGAACCAATATCTGAATTTATAAACTTGTTTTAAAGGAATTATTGCTAGCACTACATGCAATAATCCTGTATCTATCAAGCATCTAATTGTCAAATATGAGAGTACAAGCAGAAAGGCTGTGGATTAGTATTGAATCAACACAAGGTACATAATCCTTAATATCATTTCATAATTATTAAACTTGATAAAAATAAACGACAGCGTCCGTCTTCAGAGCTCGATGTAGACACATGTAGTTGTTAATAACCCTCTTCTCCATATAGGTTTAGTATACAGTAAAATCATCAATGTATGAACATATGTCTTATAAAAAACTCCCTGTACGCGAAACAAACCTGATGAACACATATTCTAAACCTTTTTGTTTTATCATTGAAGTCCTTTTCCGTTATGCAAAAGACTTTAACTAAATATGATCACAAACATGAGACTAATCCATAAGAAAGAGCTATTAAACGTATAAATGTGAAATGTCCTATCCGTGACGGGTATAAAATAAGGAGATGTGGTATAATTGCCAATGTTACGAATATTCAACATGGTCAAAATGATTTGGATTTAAGCAACTATAGGTCATCGTACGGTTCTTCATCAACAAAAAATTAACAATGAACAAAACACTCAAATCGTTTAGTTAGCTATAGGTCATCGTACGGTTCTTCAAAAATGAACAAAAACCCATATCGTGTAGTTAGCTATGAAAGACCCCGAAATGACAAAATGTGAAGTAATTCAAACGAAAAAAACCAACAGCCTTAATCATGACAAAGTAATAAAGGCGACCAACGACAATCACTGAATCACAGGCATATATATATATATATAGTATGGCGGGGTTAAACAGGTCTGTGAGTGAACAATCCTCTCTTAACCTGGGAGAGTTGTGTAACATAACGACATAAGAACAAGCAATAAAAATCAGTTGAAAAAGGCTTGACTCATCAGATCGACACATAGAACAAAACAAAAAAAAAACTATCAAAATGAAAAAAGACACAAAGTACCGACCAAAGAGTACTCGCAGTTACTGAAAGCTAGTTCAAAGCCAATCCCAACTAATAAGATAAACTATGTTTCCCAAACTTTTGTAACAAATTTTCAAGAGAACTTATGTTATGAGAATACATATCCGTTGGTATATACCATAGCGTACGGATTACTCTGTTTAACGGATTAAAGCCCACAATTTTATTGAAATATATAGATATTAATGTATTAGACAATAAAGACTGTAATGATTGGTAGATAAACGACCGAGCAAATCATCACATTGAATATGTTTTACAAAGAAACAACATAAAAACATCAACAAACTGAATATGTTTTTACAAACAAAAACCATTAAACTGAATATTTTTTTACACGTCTTAAAGTTTAACTTCTTTTCCATATCGATATTGGAATTATTATCTGATTTTAACTGAAGGGATTTGAAAAAAATGATTTGAAGAAATTAATTTCTTAAAATGTTACACAAATTATTAAAACAAGACAATATATCTTTTAATTATAACAATAATATCAGACGTATTATGAAACAAGATAAACGCACCAAACGTATTGGTCAGTATATGCTGGCTATTGATAAAATATTTAACATTATATTTCTATACTGGAAAAAAATGACGTAAACTGTAATCAAACTTTAATATAGCTTTTATACAATGACACTATGACAGTGACACACACACGTTAGATAAATAATAGAATTATAATCCAATAGTTACATGCATTCTATATCCAATGCATGTATTATAAGACATGTAATGGTCGTTATGCATCTCCAAGTTTGTATTTAAATATTTTTCAATAAGGTTGAATAGAAATATAACATTAATTGATTGAACATTTGTACAATGTACTCACAAAACAGTCAATGATTTTCAAAAGTAAAATTTTTAAAAACCTTTCATTCTATTGTATTTTCACTGCGTCATTGGACTTCATATCGACAAAAATAATGATCGATAAAGGTTAAGACCGCCTGCAATACACATACAGAAAGGCCAGGTACATGTATGTGTTGCTAAGATGAAGAAACAGACATGAAGGATTTATTTAGATTATTTGTTTTGAAGTTATTTATCATATATTGTTATGGTAAGTGACATTGTTAATGAATGATTTATGTATTTCTTAATATCTTATAATATATGAAGGTCTAGATGGGGAACTTCATGTATGAATATTCTATAACATTAAGGCCATTTTCTTCTCTATTTACTTTTTACCTTTTTCTGTCTTCTTTGTATTCTTCCACCCGTTATAATTCTTCGCTTCAGTTAGCGATATGTATTTTTTCACTTTTGTAAGTGGTATTTATTTCTTGGTGATATGTGTTTATTCCATTTCGTTAGTAAATTGTATTTCTTATACATAAAATGAAAGTGGTTGCTGTCAATATATAGAATGACTTTGACTAAAACAGGTTTTGAAGACAAAAATCTGCATGTTCTTAGTAAAAATGTCGTTTTATTCAAATTAAATAACATAACAGAACGGTATATAAGTCGATGTAAAATATCAGACAATTCAGGAAATATAAACGTAAGTGGATATGTTGCACTGATTGTTAGTTTAGAACACTTATCCAGTAATTTGAGAATATCATACATCAATATTTAGGGCCGATTTTCCCACATATTAGATGTATTTTTGTTTATAAGACATCTATACCGCTGATTTATTTGAGATAATTCGACGTGAACATGATATTACAGGACCTGTCTCTTATACAACTGTATAAGCTCCTGCAAAGTTGGGAATGATATTGATAATGACGTCACAATATGTCATTATATAAATAACACATAGCTGAGAGGGTGATAGAGCAGATTGTTACCCCGAGAAAACATTGTCAATTGAGGCGAAGCCAAGGTTGACAATGTCTTTTCGAGGTGTAACAATCTGCTCTATCACCCTCTCAGATATGTGTTATTTAATTTATTATACTGAATGTTCTGTTATTACTGCCTATTAAATTTCAAATTCAAAGTAATAAACTATGTCGTCTTGTACATAACAATCATCCGCATTTATTAAATCGCACACTTGAGCAAGCGTCTCCGTGAAGGGTAATAGAGTATTTGTCATGGGATAGAGTAAATTGTCTCCCTCGTATTAACCAATCAAAATCTGGCATTTTGACATGAAGTATAATAAAATGTTTTACATGAAACTTCGTATTTGATACCAGTTACAATAGTATACCTCGATACCATATCAGATCCGCGGCTAACGCATCGGGATTGAATCGGAACTTATAAGGAAAATTATTTATAATTAAGGAATGACTGTAATATTTTTTTTCTGTCTATGAAATAATAACAGCAAAAATGTGGTGCACACTGAATAACCCGCGTAGCTGGTTATTTAAAAGTGTGCACCACATTTTTAAAGTTATTTCGAATAGACAGAAAAAAATATTACATTCATTCCAGAAAATATTTTATTACAGTCATTCCTTATCATTTAGTTCTAAATTCCATTGTTAAGGAGTAAATCATTAAAAAAAAAACATTGATGACTTCACGGTCACACGACAAAATTATGTCTCTAAGCTGATCGACAAAAAACTTTCAGCCAATCAGAAGACTTGTTGCATCCAAAATTAAATTATTAATCTATGAATTTAATATATCTACAGTATATCGTTTAAGAGTGTGTTCTAAAACTCTATCAATGGAATTCTTTCATTTACGATGGTCTGATTGGGGTTTACAGAATAGAGAAAAAATGGACCAGGGTTATAGAAAAAATTATCAATAAAAATTAAGAAAAGAGAATAATATGATGCTAAAATATAAAGAATAGATAAAATAAAAAGTACCGAAAGTTTAGAGAATACAGACATGAAGGTGCCCCCTTCCAAAAAAAATCTATCCCTTCCATAATTTATACGAGGATATTTTCAAACTTCAATTATTTTTATGCTCATTTATGTACACCAGTAAACAAACTTTTGATTCAATAGGTCAAATTCATTTCAGTACTATCACAGTCGTCCTACCGAAAATCGGTTTATTATATGTGATTTTGTCAGAATTCATCAAACTTAGGCGTCATTTATACATGTGATGTTTTGCATACACATTTTTGCGCCTGTCCCAAGTCAGGAGTTAGTCTTGTATGTTTTTTTTTTTAATTTTAATTCATTTATATGTTTCGTAATTTAGTTGACGTCAATTTTCACTGAATAAGTACATATTTTTGTTTGAGGGTACAGCTGAAAGCCGCCTCCGGGTGCGGGATTTTCTCGCTGTGTTGAAGACCAATTGGTGGCCTTGGGCTGTTTTCTGCTCTTTGGTCTGGTTGTTGTCTCTTTGACACATTCCCCATTTCCATTCTCAATTTTACATATATGATTTATGCAAGTTTCTAATCAAAGAAGTGTTTTCATCAACCAAATAATCTATATTATCGTTTTTGTCTCGCCTTGACGGAGTCAAAAAGCGAGACATAGGTATGCTGTTTCCGGCGTCTGCGTCGGCGGCGACGGCGACGGCGGCGTCAACAATGTTTTAGATTGTGATTAGGTCTAGTTTATGGTGAACCACTAGTGGTAGGTCAATGATATTTGGTATGCAGCTGTATTAGCATTGGCACATCTCATTTCCATGGAAATTATTTGGCCTTGCCCCCTCACTGATGGTCTATTGACTTTGAAACGTTTGCTTAGTTTACATGTATTAGTTTGTGATTAGGTCTAGTTTATGGGGAACCACTAGTGGTAGGTCAATGATATTTGGTATGCAGTTGTATAAGCATTGGCATATCTCATTTCCATGGAAATTATTTGGCCCTGTCCCCTCAGTCATGGTCTATTGACTTTGAAACTTTTGCTTAGTTTATATGTATTAGTTTGTGATTAGGTCAGTTTATGGGGAACCACTAGTGGTAGGTCAATTATATTTGGTATGCAGTTATATAAGCATTGGCATATCTCATTTCCATGGAAATCATTTGGCCCTGCCCCGTCAGTCATGGTCTATTGACTTTGAAACGTTTGCTTAGTTTACATGTATTAGTTTGTGATTAGGTCAGTTTATGGGGAACAACTAGTGGTAGGTCAATGATATTTGGTATGCAGTTGTAAAAGCATTGGCATATCTCATTTCCATAGAGATTATTTGGCTCCGCCCCCTCAGTCACGGTCTATTGACTTTGAAACTTTTGCTTAGTTTACATGTATAAGTTTGTGATTAGATCAGTTTAAGATGAACCGCTTATGTTAAGTCAATGATATTTGGTATGCAAATTTATTGGCATTTGCAAGTCTCGTTTCAATGGAGATTATATAGCCCAACCCCTCAGCATGTTTCATCGACTTTGAAACTTTTACATAGTTTACAAGTTAATGTTTGTGTTTAGGTTTGTTTAAAGGGAACGACTTATAATAAGTCAAAAGTCAATGGTATTTGGAGATTGTTAAGCCATGTACCTTCAGTCATGGTTCATCGACTTTGAATATTTGCATAACTTACATGTTTAAGTATTGCTATATTAATTTCAATATTTGCATTATCAAAATTACAAAAAAGCGAGACATATCTCTGTGATAACAGTTTATCTATTCCTAAACGCACTTTTCAAGCTGAATTCAATTATGTTCTGGTTTTGTAAAGTGACTATTTGAAATGTCGGGATTTATACGGTTTATTTAAAAGCTTTTCATGAAAAACAAGTAATTACAAAGTGATACATATCTCAAGTTAATTCGTTACTTAAATTATTTGTAGTATTCGTTTAAGAAAAAAATTCTATGTTATATTTATTGTATGGTAAATATGTTTCCATATGCACCTTGAAAGGGTTCTCTACAAGTCTATAATATATCAGAACATTATGATATGTATTCGGGTGATAATTTTAATTTCACATCATTACTTTCATTAATGTTTACTAAGGATCCAGATTTTTTTTTGTAATTTTATCAAGAAAGATAAATGAAGGGATGGTAAACGTAATTTTGCCCTTATTCGTGAAATTTTATTTATATGAGGTTATATTTTGTATGTATAAAATATAAAATGTGTAGTTAATACATATCTTAGATAGTTTTTTATACACCCAGTTTTTACCTTTTTTAGGCTACATTGTTAAAAAAATGTTCATGAGATCAATGAGGTTTTCAGCAATGCTACTTATGCTGGTATTTTGTAATTGGTTGTGAAGAAGATATAATGTCTATTGTTCCATTTTACTTACTCTTGCTTTAGCTTTTCCCTTTTGATGAGTTCTCAAACACTTGTCTATACAATAAACTGAATTATGTTACACTGTCTAATTCGAAATTTAACAAAATAAAAGTTTGTTCTGTCCTTGCAGAAAACAAATAATGAATTAGTCGTTTTAAGTAAAAGACAGGTCTGTTATATTTATTTACAATTAAACTGGTTCGACCTAATTACAGGTTGTAGGCTGGGTTATCCCTGTACAAACACTTGAACAAAACATATTAAATTCGTGTGAATCATTTAGCAATATTATTGGGTGAATGCCTCCTCTAAGGGGCTACTCTGCAAGGGGTTCCAAAAACGTTTTATTCAATTATTGAATTAATCAACATCAGCTAGACTAAATTTGCAAACAACAAATAGCATGGGAATAAAGAGAAGATAAGATCACAAAGATTTTCAAATAAATCGTATGTTGTTTCAGCAATTTGTGAGTATCCTGATTGGATACAGAATAAAGTTTGGAATGATCGGACAAAACGTCAGCTAACCTTCAGCGTCACTACCATGACGGGGTGGACCTATCGTTTATATTCAGACACGATTACAGAATGGGAATGTGACTTAAAGTTCAAAAACGACGAAACTTTTGTGGCTTCTAGGTAATTAAATACCACGACAAAACATTCATTCAATATATATCTCATTTTAGTATGCAACTAAAATTAATATGATAAAAATTGTTCTTGAGAAATATATTGCACATGTATTAATCTGCTGAAATTTTGTAAAAGAAATATCAAACTAAATATAGTAATAAAAGCCCAATAAAATATATTTTGTATGATTTTAAACTAATATATGTCTCGCCGAGTTATTTCTAATCGGAAAGTTAGTTAAGATTGTTTTTAATTTTGGGAATGATTTTTACCTAATGGTATCGAACATTTATAGATAATTTCCATTGCTTGATAGTTATAAATATAACAAATTTTTATTTTTTTTATTTAATTTATAGATCAAAAGATACCTATACGATTTTTGGAGCACATTACAGGGCATATCTTTGTCACAAATTTGAGAAGATAGAGGAAAATGTCACATACTACAATCTGATGGCTGGTTAGAATGTTTTCATATGATAATATGTATACAGTTTATGCATTCTTTATACTCATTATACATCATGCTTATGCTGAAGCACGCCTCCGGGTGCGGGATTTTCTCGCTGTATTGAAGACCCATTGGTGGCCTTCGGCTGTTTTCTGCTCTTTGGTCGGGTTGTTGTCTCTTTGACACATTCCCCATTTCCATTCTCAATTTTATTGTGTGTGTCATTCTTTTTTCTCGTGTGTGTCTAGTTCAAAATTTCATTATTCTGGCCCCAATGAGTCCAGTTTGCTAAAATATAAAAGCATCAGTATTTGACGATATCGGTTGGTTGACTTCCGGTACAATAACAGTGTTTGAGCAAACAAGCAAACGAAGTTTGCAAGCAAGGCGTTTAAACTATTGATCAACATGGAATATTACAATAGCTCTTAACGTTTTTCACATAATACACTTATTAAAAGGGATAACCGGAATCCCCAAAAATATCGGACAGTAAAGCAGACTATATATTTATCTACATGTGTAATTCCTTAGCATTTGACCAGTTAGTATTCTGTAATTTGGAAGTGTCATCTATAAAACATGTAATAACAAAATAAGCAATATTTCAGATATATCAGAGAGCGGAAAAATAGTCCATATTACAAATGAAGTTCCAGTTGATATATGTGACGTCTGTTCAGGCCCAGGTAACGAAGGGTCTTATATCATATCAGGTAATTTCAAAATTATTCCAAACTAAATGCTTGAAAGTTACCTCAAAGCAAATAAAACGTCCCATGTGCAGAATAAAAAAAAGGCTACAGCGAGTACAATAATGTAAAATAGATACTAATTTATTGGCATGAATTGATAAATTAAATCCGACTGAATAGCACAAATAGATGATCATGGATTGCTTATTTGTAGATTTTCTGTTTATTCCTGGACTCTTATTAACTGAAATTTGCATCCTACCTTCATGTATATTTAAGCTCTGGGACACAGTAACATACATATAATTATAGTAAATCTCTAATCAACAATAATGATTTATAGTTGTGAAAGTTTCTTGGCATGCTGGCATACCTTTTGTGACCTTTTATACTTTGTTTTATAAGTTTACCATCTTACCGTGGCAATTTCTAAAAAGTTAATTCATGCTTATTATTAATTTTTATTAAGATCAATTTTATATTAATGATATCTGAAAAGACAGTTTTGCAACTTCATTCATACTTTGTACGATGAATTATTTTATCATAAAAGAAGAAAAGAAGAAGAGCTACATAAATTGGAATGTCAATAACAAACGAGCTTTTTGAAGAAGAAACATTTTTGTCACTACAATTTGTCTGGCATACATTATGAAACATACATTAAAAGTAGTTCCTTGTGATGACATTGGACAATGACATGCTAAATAAGGATGCTTAATTTGGAGTGAACATTTTATCCCTCTCGTAGTCATTTGTCGCTACGTGTCTATCCTTCAGTTTGCGTACTTTTTAGGAAGACTCTTTGTTGGCATATAATTTTTATATGTATAGGTCCATTCATATAACCGACTTAAAAAGATATGTTTTGATAAATTACTCAAATCATGAAATATATTTCCTTACATTACAATATCAAGTTATGATTTCGATGAAATATTGGATCAATCATTGTTATGTTATTTTATTTTAGTCGACAGTAATTCTAACAATGAGACTGAACCCCCTGCTGGGTGCAATCCATGTTTGTACCACTGTGATAAGTCAGGAACGCCAATAATTACAACTACTTCCAACCCAGATGACAGTGAAACACCATTGACTGAAAGAGCCCCGACTCGCTTTGACAATAAAGCTGCTACTTCTGAACAATCATCTAATGCCAAGCTTATAGGTGGGATTGTAGGCGCTGTGTCATTTATATTACTGGTAACAGTCTTAATGGTATGGCTGACAAGACGTGGCTTCTGTGTTACTAACGTACTGGAGACTTTCTATGAAGAAAAACACTTTCACACGACATGAATCATTACCGCATTTGACATTATTTTAAAATGTGACTTTTATCGTTTGAATCGAGACACATACATACATAAGTGGATTCATTTGAAGAGTGGTGCCTATTTGAAACTAAAGGGAACAAAACACTTGAAACAAATAAGTGAACATATACAATCACACAAAATTAAGGATTAACCAAAACAAGAATGGAGAATAATAAATTAATCAAAAAGCGGAGAGAATAAGACGAAACCAGTATGACTACAAAAATCGTACGATGCCCGGCAGCGAAATACTCATTGATTGAGATGCACATTAAATAATGTCAAATCCATGCATTTGTGTTTACCAAAGAGCTAACGTTTTTTAATATGCAAATGTTTTGTATATCTAGATTATTTCCCTCTTCGTTTGTTATTTGTTTTAGGCTTTTACTTTATTTGCTTGACAATATTTCATCTACATTTGAAGTCTTCTATTCATCATTTATCAAAAAATTGTATTGTATGCATGACTGAAACTTGATTTGCTAGAATTTTGTATTTTACCATTTTGAAAGTACTTGTGTAAGAGAAGTATTATAATAATTGAGTATGGAATGACGATGAGGAGTGAAGGTCGTTAAAATCTGGTTGGTGTAAGAGGGGTTTCCGTTTGAGTACGATGGATGTTCAGGCTTCCTATGGAATACTTAGGTCGACATAATGGCTAAGCTATATATATATATCTGGGTACGACATTTTGGATTATTTCTAAACAAAATTAATATTATAGTCTTGTGACTGAAAAGAATTGTCTTTGCCTTAATTTTCTTGTCAATGAAATGCCTTGAGTATCACTCAGGTGTCTTGGAATAGACTCTACACATAATTCCTTCACTTTTAACGTCCTTATTCATACACATGAAACTGATAGCGTACATTATTGAATAAATGAATCATCAAACTTTTTGTTGTTGTATGTGAAAGTCTCTAAACGGAACCAATTAGTCCTGAAATAATCATTAACAACTACTCTGCATGTTGTAGCCATTACAATGCAAAATACAATGGTCTCTCCAATAGACGACATACGTATTGCTTTTCTAGATACTTACTTCTTAAAGTGGATTTTCTGAAATAAACCTTGTAGAAATGAAGAAATGTAATATGGCCGACATATTTCAGGGTCCCATTGTCTATGAAAGAGTCCACCATGACTGTCTCCGATATGTAGAAATAAATATCAGGTGCACACAGCGTAATATCATGACGATTATTTATCTTAATTATGAAGCAGAAACACTTTCATAAAATCATTGATGTTGTCCGAGGCCTCCAAATGCTCTTTTGTTTATTGATCAAAGTAATAATCAAAAAGACGTTGTGTAAAGTTTGTCAGGTATTTTGTGGATATATATCATTTTACTCTTTTTATTGTTTGAGCTAGGACTAACATGATAGCTTATTCTTCAATGTTGCATGAAATCTACTCGGAAATACAGCCTCCGATTTCTGATTCCAGGATGACAAGATTTCAGTAGGTTAAGTAATTTTAGCTGGCATTTATTGAACACACCTTCGAAAACCTGAACTATCAACATTATCTTACAAATGGGGAAAAACTAGGGTAAAGTGAATAATAAAAGACGGTATTGGCAGTCTTGAACGTAGAAAATATCAACGAACTAGGATGATAAAATCTACAGGTCATCGTATACCCTTCAACAATGAGCAAAACTCATACTTAATAGTAAGGTATACAAACCTCGGGATAACACAATGTGAAGCAATCCAACAAGGAAAACGTACAGTCTGATTTAAGCTTAAACATTTAGCGAAACTCAATTACGACAGACAGCAACCAAAGACAACAGCTTGGTTATAGGCTCCCTGCTTCAAAATGTTTTCTAATGCCGTAGGAACAAACAACTGACTGACTAATTATAAAGTTTCATTTCGGGCATTTCATGCTAGTGTCTAAATATGTGTGTATTATCTAGTCTATTTTTGCGCATTAGAAATATATTCTAGTTTCACATTTTGTCAAACCGGGGCCTTTCGTAGCGTACTACACAGGCTGTATTTTTGAAGGACGCAAGGTGACTTTACTTTTAGTTTTTAAAGTCATTTTCCTTTGGTCTTTAGTGGATTGTTGGCTCATTGGCAATCATAAAACATATAACTATTTACATATCGAAGTTATTACATGCGACGTAGTGCCACATCATTATTTACTTTTTTGGATGACAATTTTGGAGATATTTATCCGTACAAATTAGAAACTTTCACCACAAGGAGTTTTCATAAACAACAACCTTTATGGTTTCAAATAGACAATTTTGGTTTCAAACGATCTTAAAGTTATAAAATGTGGAGATGTCTTTCATCAATGATTATTTTTGCTTTTTAATATATATTAATGAGTGGCTCAAAAATTCCATTGAGATGTTCTTTGTATCTGTCATATTTTCTTCAAAAGCAAAAAAATACATTTTACCCCTATGTTCCATTTTAGCCATAGTGGCTATGTATCTTGACGTACAAGAAAATAAAATACAAAATTTATTCTAGATACTCTGAAACTCATTCAGCCCAAGTTTGGCTGAAATTAATTCAGCAGTTTCAAAGGAGAAGATTTTTTAAAGTAAGCAAACTAGATGAAGAAATTGTGAAAAAATGTCTTTAAAGGGCAATAACTCCTTTTAAAGGACACATTTGACAATTTCGGTCATATTAACTTATTTGTAGATCTAACTTTGCTGAACATTTTTGCTGTTCACAGTTTATCTTTATCATTAATAATATTCAAGATAATAACCAAAAACTGCAAAATTCCTTAAAATTACCAATTTAGTGGCAGCAACCCAACAATGGACTGTAAGGTTCGTCTGAAAATTTCATGGCTGATAGAACTTGGCCAAATGAACATTTTAACCTCTCATCAGATTTGCTCTAATTGCTTAAATGTTTGAGATATATTAGCCAAAAACTGCATTTTACCCCCTAGTATTCTAATTTTAGCCATGGCGGCCATGTTTTTTGACGAAACAGAACTTTATTCTAGATACCCTAAGGATCATTCAGCTTAAGTTTGGTTGGAATTGGTTCAGTAGTTTCAGAGGAGAAGATTTTTAAAGTTAGAAAACATGATAAACAAATTGTGTAAAATTATCCTCAAAGGGCAATACTCCTTAAGGGGTCAATTGACAATTTTGGTCATATAAACTTATTTGTAGATCTTACTTTGCTGAACATATTTACTGTTTACAGTTTATCTTTATCATTAATACTATTCAAGATAATAACCAAAAAACTGCAAAATGTCCTTAAAATTACCAATTTAGTGGCAGCAACCCAACAATGGGTTATCAGATTCATCTGAAAATTTCAGGGCTGATAGAACTTCACCTAATAAACACTTTTATCCCGTCAGATTTGTTCAAACTCCTTTGGTTTTTTAGATATAAGCCAAAAACCTGCATTTTACCCCTATGTTCTATTTTTAGCCATGGTGGCCATGTTTTTTTACGAAACAGAAAATAAAACACAATCTTTATTTTAGATACCCTAAGGATCATTCAGCTTAAGTTTGGTTGGAATTGTTTTAGTGGTTTCAGAGGAGAAGATGTTTGAAATAGTTTACACCAGACGGACGACGACGGACGCCAAGTGATGGCTAAAGCTCACGAAGGAACGGTGAGCTAAAAAGGCTAGTAATTTGGAAAGCACGGACGATATTGATATTATAGGAGGCTAGTTTAGGTAGCCTCACCTGCTGGTTGGTTATTTTTCGCTCAAGAAAAACAAGAAACAAAACTCATACCAAGCTACATAAAGTCTAATTATATTATTTATTTAAAATCGGCAGTATTTGTGAAAGACCTGTAAGAATCGAAAATCATGATATCACCCGGGAAAAAAATTAAGCTGAATAGTGACATAAAAATAATGTACGGCCTTTAATAATGACCATTGCCCATACCGTATATATAGTAAGCTTGAAAAAGCCCTTCATGGCAAAATATAAAACAATTCAAACGAGAAAACATGGTTGAGAAAGCTTGACTTTGTACAGCGACAAATTGTAGTGGGGTTAATTCAGTTTTAACTGCGCACAAACCTACCACTACAACGTTTTATGCTAAAAATCAATGCGAAAAACAAATATGACATACATCAACCAGTGACAATCACTTGAACCTAGATACCAGATCTCATAATTTGGGAAGACACACAAAGAATGAATTTTTGGGGTGGCATTCAACAAGTTGGTGATCACTCAAACCCTCCTCCAACCTACGACAGGGGTGTAACAACACAACATACTGACAAACTGTAAAACAATAGTTTGAAAGGGTTTGACTCTTCAAATCGGTACCGAGCATAAAAACAAAAAGACAAAAGACACACAGTAATGATCTAAGAGCATTTTCAGTTTGTGCAAGATAGTGCAATGCCCAATTGTAACACCAGTTATGAATTAACCATGTTCCCAAAGACTTAAATGTCTATCAGTACACCTCCAACGGATTTAGTGTAAAGACGTCACAAACACAGCCTTTTGTAATGCTAGAATATAAATATGGACAGGATGTATGACCACAAATATTTTAAAATATCTTGAAAACGTTATATTTCTTGTTAGTTATAAATTAATCTTATTGATAGAATATGCGAACATACGTTGGTGAGGTATACACGCCTGTAGTCCATGATGCTAAAAGATGTAAGAAATTTCAAGAGTTTTTAAAATACTTCTTTTTCATTGGCATGTAAAACTCTAAATAACGCGGAGTCTTTATACACTGGTCACAAATTGAACAAAAATAGCTGAGATCTGCCAGGAACAACTTATCTTCAGCAAAACAGCAAAAACATCAAGGAATTACCTAAACCAACCACTGAAGAGGCAAAATTTTGAATTTAAATTTGTTATTGCTTATCAGATTTTTACATTTTACAGGTTCACAAAGTCAAATTTTCGACAATGTTTATGTGCTGACATAGTACTATTAGGTAATTTTAACTGTGTATGAAGAACTATGCGATAAGATCAAATGAAATGTGTACGAATTGTTGATAAACTATCTTTGTACTTACTACAATGTTCCTCAAAACAAAGATGGTGTTTATAAGAACCTTTTATGTATATGTGTTTATCATGACTACTGGGATACAGTTATCCTCTTCGACTAAAGCTGACGCTGACATAAACCAAGCCTTAATGGAAAAGTTGAGAGTTTTAGAAGAAAAATTCGCAAAGCTTGAGAATGACTGCAAACAAAGTACGCTGAGAATAGAAGAAATGAGCAGTATGTTATTTTTAAATAATTTAATATTATAATTTCTTTGATACTTTAAAAATGTAACTTATAATCAAAATGCATCAACTGTGTGTGCTTTGGTGGCAACAAAAAACAACAATATAGGCGTAATAAGAATGTCAAAAGAGGTATTCCCTCTAAAATAGTCCTAACAAAATTATTCTCAACGTATAACAACTCATTTCGAAGTAGTATATACATGAGATTAACGAATTTGAATCATTGCCATGGGTGTGAAATACATGTGTAAGAGATAAATTAGTCCTGGTAAAATCTGTCCCGGCGGACACAAATAGCTAGTAAATAAAGTCTATGGTACAAAAATGTTCTAGTAATTTTTTCGATGTCAGTAGTTAATTTCCACAGATAAAGTTCCTAGGTATTCATGCCAATGTCCTTTTAATATTCCTTGGCTAAATGTCCATGTCCTATATTTTACTGAAGGAACATTTTTGTGACGTGTGCAGCATATGGAGGGATCCGACTACCTTCCGGAGCACATATGATCACCTCGGTTATTGGTGGGGTTCGTGTTTTTCGGTCTTTATTTTTCTGCGTACTGTTGTTTGTCTTTTCGTCGTTATTCGTTTTATGCCATGGCCTGTCAGTTTGATTTCGACTTATAAGTGTGAATGTCCCTTTGAT